CCCCTGTCTTGCTTTCCTCCCTCCACTTGCGCGGAAGAGTGCCCATGAGGGATCGGTGACAGCATTGTGGCCATCGCTCGCCAAGGTGAGGAAGGGACGCGGGGAGAGCGACGCAGAGATGACGGGGACGTTCCCCCAGAATGTTCCATCGAGGTTGATGCCGCATTTTAGTTCCTTGTTTTGGGACATGAGGGATGCTGCGGCGGCTCCACCGAATGAATGCCCAAATATTCTGGAGGGCTTATCGAGTTTGTTGTCCGTGCCTGGGATTTGCTTCACGAAGTGTTTATCGCGTAGAGCTGCAGTCACGGCTTGGAGGTCTTTGACTCGTATGTCGATTGCTGAGTCCGCTGCTGCGATGGGATCCACTGGCTGAGAGGAAACGAGTGTGGCGTTGTGACCATCTGGATAAGCGACGAAGTTTGAGTCGAAGGGGTGGTCTACGGATACTATCACATATCCTCGGCTAACGAGTCTCGCGATTGTGGCTCCGTAGTCCTCTCTACTTTGCCCATAGCCACCACTAAACAGAAGTACTTCCTTCACTTTCTTCCCTCTTTCTCCCACCCCGTCGCTGATTTTTGCGCCGCCATAGGCGTTTGAGATTACGGTCTCGATGAGTCCGGGTGGTATACCGAGGGAGGCGGTTAGACACTTTGCGTACGCGCTGTCGTATGCGGGTGCTAGAGTTGATATGCGTGATGGCTGCGATGGGTAATAGACGGAGATCATGAGGTCTCGATTACCTGCGAACGGCGTGATTGGGTCGTCGCAACGAAAATGCCCAGCATTAAAACGGCGAATCTCATGATGATTGAATGGGGGGTTTTGTGTGTAAGGTTGAAGAAAGGGTAGTATGCTTTGGATTTGATAGTCTGACAGATTTGCGTTGACGAAGGGGAATTGTTCATTTATATACGGAGGTAGTAGCTAATATTAGACACCAAACATGCCACTTTATTATGACACAGCATTACGTACCCTGGATCTACATAAATTGCCTCACCACCACGTGAAACTCCTTAATATCGGTCGTTTAGTGATTATAATATCGCTTTCAGACAACAAGAGTCACCTAAAACGTGCACTGGAGGTGGACATAATGATGGGTCAAATTGAGGCCTGGAAGAATCGCCCGTTTTACGGAGAAAATGTGGTACAACTTACCACTTCTTCTCCACTCTGTAGTGCTTGTTTTACTTTGTAGATCATACTTTGGCGTTTTCTTCGTAGAAGAGTAACTAACCACAAAAAGATAATCGCCATTGCCAGGTGTCGACAGGTGTCGTCAGGGTAGTCCTAGTCTCGACCTTTGAGTAAAGAATAGTTATACAGTGTTCTAATATTAGAGATAAAATTAGGTTCACGTGGCTCAGCTTTCGTACCGCGGTTTCCCTCGGACCAAATCCGACTTTTCTATATCTGGCTTGGCTAAATCAAATAAGGAACGAAAGATGTAATAATCTATATAATAACTCAAAAAATTAAACGGTAGTAATAGTAGATGTATAGAGGTGCCGGTACTCGAGTATTCCATATATATGTCCAAGTTCTTGTGGAACAACCAAGCCTCTTGGCAGTAGTTAGCACGTAGTAAGTGGGTCCTTACCTGTTAGATCAGACTTTTTAAGTGGTTTCACCCTTTGTTTACTAGGTCTAGGAAGTGGACTGCTAAGGCTGCTTTATGTTACACAGATTATATATGAAAAAAATTCTAAAACGCTACAATTTACTATCTAGTGTATAACGTTGAAGATACGCCTAGGGCTTATATAAACCTAGACATAGTTCGGACCGGATTACACCTGTTCAGCGCATAGCTAGCTTACTTCGGCTATTATTTTTGAAGTAATTATATAACCTATCGTGTATCCTTTATTCTTTACAAAGTGGTAAAGGTATAGAGGTACCTATACTTTATTTATGTTTCATTTCGGACCGGATTACACCTGTTCAGCGCATAGCTAGCTTACTTCGGCTATTATTTTTGAAGTAATTATATAACCTATCGTGTATCCTTTATTCTTTACAAGGTGGTAAAGGTATACAGGTACCTGTACTTTATTTATGTTTCACTGAAGGCGCTAACTTTACCATGCCTTAAGAGAGATAAATTTCATGTGAATTCAGCCTACGAATTACCATCATACAAAAGTTGGAGGCAGCTGTGATATTGAAAGCAAACAAAATACAGACGTCGCGGATTTTACCACTTGCGATGATAGATTCTGACGAATTCTAACTATCTGGAGCGAGCTTGAATCCGATTAATATCGCTGGAACTTGACGAACGCTTAGAACAAAAACGTTGCCTGTATGCTCTTTGTTCCCCTTGTCGGCCGCTCCCCCAATATTTTCGGTATGCACTTGGGTGCAATGAACCTGCAGGGTCCCAAATCCTTGACCTTCGTTTCTAGGCTGCAAAAAAGCTCGAATAATTTCAACTTTAACATTTAGATGGAAGCTGTGTTCATAAATGCTTTTATCTATAGAAGTTTTCTCATTTCATATTACAAAAAGGTGTACTAATATTGAGCAACTTTGAAGCATTTAAAGTACAGTCTCAATCACTACATAAGTTTCGTAAGTCTTTTATCCTTGGACATTTTGGTTGGGATTTTCCAGAGTTCCTACAGCAGTTTGATATACCCTATTGATGTTTGTTTGTAACTCTCTTGTGAATCAATCAGTGGAATTTATTGTGGGCTACATGGGTTAAATAGTAGATTCTTTGTTACACGCTTTTTGATTCACANTTTGATATACCCTATTGATGTTTGTTTGTAACTCTCTTGTGAATCAATCAGTGGAATTTATTGTGGGCTACATGGGTTAAATAGTAGATTCTTTGTTACACGCTTTTTGATTCACAGCTGGTCATTTCTTAATTGCTCTGGGTCTGAAGTCATTCTACGCTAATTCCACGGCAATGCTTCGAAAATATTAGGTCAATTTATTTGATTAGATTGTGTAAGATTTATTAAATTAAATGGGATTCAAGTGTACGACCTGCGTCATGCACTAATTTGTCAAAGGTGCCTTACATCTAGCCCACTTAGGGCTGCGTAGCAGACTTCTCATTTGCAACGGTCTCCTCGTCGGTCTTATGAGTCTCTGCGCTTTGCTCGTTGGGTTCCGCACCCGTACCTTCTCTTCCAGTAGCAGAATTATGCGTAGCAGAAGTCCTACTATCAACATACCACCACTCAACATTATCCCTCTGCTCCTGCCACATCTTCTCAATCTCGTCTCCCAACTCCTCCCAATGCTCTGTTAGTTCCACAGGGGAGTACATTGCAAGGAATATTCTAGGAGTAAAATAAAGGTCTATGAATCCTACTATCAACATACCACCACTCAACATTATCCCTCTGCTCCTGCCACATCTTCTCAATCTCCTCTCTCAACTCCTCCCAATGCTCTGTTAGTTCCACAGGGGAGTACATTGCAAGGAATATTCTAGGAGTAAAATAAAGGTCTATGAACTTCTGTGACAATGCTGAAGGACNCAACTCCTCCCAATGCTCTGTTAGTTCCACAGGGGAGTACATTGCAAGGAATATTCTAGGAGTAAAATAAAGGTCTATGAACTTCTGTGACAATGCTGAAGGACGGAAGGAAATTGGTCTGATTCCAAAGGTGGTAAGAAATGGGACGTGGCGTGGAACGGCTGCCTTAGTTCCTGATGTTGTAGTAACGTAGACGACCATCTTTGATGTTAGATTGGTAATGACCTGTGAGGACTAGGTCGTATTGTTTCAATGGGGTATGCTACCGTTACCACATTACAGCTGTTCTTAACTTAAATACCCCACTTTCTTGAGAATGACTAATATACTTTGATTCATGAAGTGTTCTTGCACACATTCAGACTTGAGTTAATGTGTGGCATCTCTTTACATTTGCTGGGAACTATGGAAAGGGTTTGATTGGTGATTGTAGAGGGGGTGTAATATCTATTCTTGTTCAGAGGGTGCGCAGGTAAGGATATGAACCAATCACATAGTTTGTGAAGTCTAATATCCAGGATTAGGATTATAAGAAACACTAGTGAATTCAATATTCTTTGCTCCACAAAATAATAGATCTCTAGGTCATTTGAGCTATTTATACCACAAGATTTAGAGCTATAGTCATTAGAAGCAGTATTGTAACGAATACTCAAACTGGCTAACTAACTTGGCTGGGTGTTCGCTGGTTGGTATGCTATGATAAGAAGAAGACTATCGGGTTGTTCACTTGGAAGTGAACTCGTTACTTGTATCAAAGATGTCAAACTAATATGATAAGATCGATAACTAAGTTGAGCACGAAGCTCCTATCTAATGGCAGACGTGCCAGCCTTATATAGAACCTTCATATCCCCAAAGTCGACAATGTCGAGAAGTCGACCTGCATGAGTCACGTGATTTAAATACAAAGAAATCCTTGGATCGCTTAGCTATCCTACGCGATCCCTATTTGCTATAAGGACCATGATGTGCCTGTCCTGTCAGAGCGCCATCTGGACCAACTATTCACGTGCTTAACACGTGATTCGTGACACTATGAGCGAGTTATGTACCTTTTATATAAAGTAACTAAAATATATATTTTTTTCTCGCTTAACAGTCTTTAATTCTATCTCTCTAAATAATAAAACTATTTATATAACTTTATTAACTTAATTGAAGTATTTTCTTAAGAATTATTTTAAAGTAAATAGAATCTAACCTAGAAATCTAACTATTATCTATAGAATAAGGTAATTCTTATAGGTAAAGTACTCTAAGAAGCTTCAATTAGACGAGGAAACTCTACTCTATATAGTAGAGTATAAAGGTCACGTAGTATAAAGGAGGTAACTTTCTCTATCCGTGATATATATTTATATCCGCTATAATAATTGAAAATAATCGCGGCCTAATAAAATAATCCTTCTCGCTCTATCTACGTAGTTGTATTTATAACTGGACCCTTTATACCCTTAAGATATAGTTAACTATCTAATGATTAGCGATAGAATTAATAATTTCATACTAGGAGAGTATAATACTACAGGATAAAAACCCGGTCTTTACATAGAGTTATAGTAGGTGCGCACGCTAATGATTAAAAAACTATTTCCGCGCCATCCGAGCAATAGCACCTGAAGTTGTTCAATGCAGTGCATTCGTGACCCGTAACATCCTATATAACGATTAGCGACCGGATTAGCAATCTCTATCAGGAGAGTACTTTACGTAGGGTAGGCAGTTCGGTCCACATGTGGCATCCCTGTCCCCTTCCGCGGGGCACGCCGCTATAACGATAGAGGCGAGAGACAAAGTAGAGAGGAGTGCAAATAGCTTCATGGTTACTATTGGAATGGGTTGTTTCTGACTTGAGGGTAGATGGCTTGACTGACAAAGTTGTCTTGTTTGAGAAATGGCTTCTCAAGACATTCTTATAAGGGTGTCCCAAGTCTCGAAAGGTTAAGGGCCTTTTCAGCCAAGGCCATACATCGCGGTGTATAATACTAATTATAGATATACTTCGTCCTACGCGTTTTATTATAACTTTCCTAGGGTGGCTTCAGTGGAGAACAGGGTAAAACCCATGTAAAAGTAACAAATATTACTTCTATAACCCCGATCAATACGTTACTCGCAACGAGTTACCGGAGCGTTTGACTCGTATGTTAACTAAAAAGAAAAGTAATCTACGCTTTTAACAACTATCTTATATTCGCATCCAGTCTCGACCCAGTGTAAACGTTATCTAAGACTTTTCACAGGCGAGTAACAGGGTAAACCCCCATGAAAAGGTCACATTTTTTTCGCCTAGGACGATGTAAGATATTCACCCAAAGTTCACGGAATTCTCGGAATACCGTAGTTTCCGTCAAGTAAAGCCTTTCCTGCATTTCCATACAGTAAGGGCAGAGATTGACTAAATCTAATACTTATGTTATTCAATAGTGAGCGCGTCTTTCTACGGCACTTATAACATCATATTCATTGATTCCATATCATTATTTCATTAAGACTAACAACATTAATCCTCACCTTATTAATAACTATCATTCACACATATTAAACCTCGCGACCGAAGGGTCATGATCAGAAGTCTCATCCGCAGCCGTCGCCCAAGTATTGACATGCACATGTTCAAACTCTGCCTCTCCCTTCTTCGCCAGCGCCTTGGAGACGAACATATGATCTAACTCCTGGCAATTCATGTCAAAGACATAACTATATCTCTCACTCTTTTCAATCTCCGCCACCTCGTCAAGGTCCTCCAATCCTGAGCGCTCCATAAAAGACCGAAGAGGAGCAACGAAGGTGAATTCATTAAAGTCACCGGAAGAGATGATTTTCGCGTCCGGATCCTGGGCTAGAATCGAGGAGATAAATGAGGCGGTGACGTTCATTTGCAACATCCTATCATCCACCCCGCCATTCACAGGTGGTCGTGCATCACCTTCAATCGAGGAGCTTCCACCCTTGGAACCGAAATGCACGTTCACGGTGAAGAATTTGTTCTTGCCGTCTAGAGTTTCCCATGCAGCAGCTAGAGGTTTTCTTGAACCGGACCAAGCTTCGGTGTTCAAAGGGTCGATTCTACCAGGGTTGTATTTTAGCTCTGGACCTGGAAGCACGACGTTTGCGTCGGTGCTACTTCCTGGGTTCGCGTTTCGGAGACGGAGAATGGAGGGTTTGTAGAGGTAGGCTACCCGGATGTTTCCTCCAGGTTGACCGCCGTCTTGGTTGGACACTGGGCTGATGTCTGTGAATAGGTACGTGGTGTTGGATTGTGTGGAAATTGAAGTTACGAGCGCTGAGAGGGTCTCGTTTGCGTCGACGACTGTGAGGAGTTAGCTGTTTTCAAGGAGTGTTGAGATGGGACTCATACCCCCGTCGTTCGTTGCTCCATTATTATCTTGGATTTCTTGAAGGAAAATCAAATCCGGGGTTTTGAGGTACTCGACGATGTGCTTGGCAATATTTGGTAGATGCGAAGAGTTTGGTGACATGTTTTCCACGTTGTATGACCCGATTGTGAGTTGCTTGCAATCCCCACTTGATGTGAGAGTTGTTGCAGGTGGCAATTCTGGCTGTGCGGAGGCGGTGACATTGATCGCCGTTAAAGGTAAAATGCGATAGTATCCGAAAGCTTGAGTGACAACTCCGGTAAGTTCTTCCAAGTCATCACCGAGTTTTGCAGATTCTGGGTTGTCGGTTCCATCTAGAGGGGCTCCAATCAAGATCGCTTCGGGATTTGCGTCTGGTTTCTGGCATCAGGAAAGAAAAATCGACCAATTCATGGTACATACCTCGATCGCTGGCAGTCAAGCCACCTCTCTTGTTCCTCCCAGAAACTTCCCAAGACCCAGTTACCCAGGTATCTCCAAAATTATTTGGTTTTGACAGAGCTTTAGGCGTCTGGACCTGAACAAGCTCACCACTCATGGACTCCCAAAAGTCGAGGCCGTAAAGAAGTGGTTCCAGGCTTGGATTTACCACGGATATTAGGCTGCTGTTGTTTGGAATACTGAAAACATCTCCATCGTCCAAAGATGAGAATCGCTCAGACGGAGGCCACATCAGTCCACCAAGTATGATTGGGGTAACATCTTGACCGCTGCAAATAACGGCAATGTTCTTAGGGGCTGTGAGCTGAGTGAGGTAGAGGTAAGCTGCCGAGGACCGATATTCTGCCACTGTGGCATCCAAGGTAATTAGATCTCCCACTGTAAGGTTTCTCCCGGCGGTATTACTGAAGACGTAAATGGAGTTTGAGGACCGGTAATCGAGATCTAGTGTTGCTGACCGGATCCAGAAACCACTATTAAAGCAGACGAATTAGGAATTGCGCTTCTGGATAGATGTACGGTACAGTAGATTATGGGTCAAATTCGCAAAAAAGGCGGCAAGTTTAAGCTCAACCTGGTCTAGGAGAGACTAATTGGCAGCAGAAGAGAATATGATAACGAACCTTGGTCCCTTTGCCGTCACGACTCCTTCGATAGCTGTAACATTCTGACCATTATACGACGACAAATATTTGTCTCCATTGATTTGGCTGATGGTCAAGGCAGATGTCAAAGACCATTCCAAAGCCACACAAAGAGCGACGACAGTAGGAGAGAATCTCATGATTCGAGAGAGAGAAAGGGAGACAGAGGGCAAGTAAATGCCTTCGGATAAAAGACTCCCAAAAACTCGGGATAAATATCTCCCTAGACTGCGACTTCGCGTCTTTATCAGAAAAAGGCCATCCCGTAGCCTTGTATGGGACTTGATGGGTAAGATGTTACCAATGGATTCTATCGAAGCGCAACACGTTCTTGAATGTTCAAGGATAGAGATTCCACTCTCTTGGCAACCGAAGCGAGGAGGAGACGCGAGCCTTGGCGGGGAGATCTCGTTGGTGGTGCTCGTTATTGTAGATGAAGAAGGGCCATTGGAGATGAGGAGGTTATGCAACAGATATAGGCCTTACTCTATCGATCAGTTCCCGTGGGTACGGAATTCGGTCGGATCCGAGGAAGTGCGGAGGTACTTCGGGGCAGCATGTACTCCGAAGTAGCAGTGATGCAATGAAGTGATCAATCTTAATAACAAGCGCGGGGCTGTTTCTACTTTGGATGCCACCAGATCCTGAAGTGATTTACCGAGGGGGATGCCGGGCGGAGCAGAAGTGTTACGGAGTATAGTCGAACCTGGATGAGGAAGGTGGAGTGATAAGGTGAGCTGGCTTGACATGTCTTGGCACTCGGTTCCTGAGCCACCTGCATGCCTCGGTTGTCTTTTTGGTGCTCAGTCACGTGCTTAGGGGACGATGCAGGCATGTGCACGTCAGGGCGGGGTGCAATCATGGTGCTGCTCATCTCACTGGCACTGGAGAAGTGCTGTGCTTTTGCCATCACCCTCTGCTCTCCAGCAATCTGGATTCGCGGTGCCAAGGTACTGGTTCTTGGCTGCACGGGACCTATCAAAATAGAACTCGTCTGATTCGTGCTTTTCAACGAGAATCCGACTGCCAAGATGGCTATCAATTGGCAAGGTTAAGCTTTTTTCATCCTGTTGGGAAATTCTACGAAACGTGGGTAAATAATCAGGCTGCGCTTTTCTTATATCTCGCAGGAAACTTGAGCTCTCACATGTGGTCACTGCTCTTCGGTGTTGCTTGGTTTTTTCGAATCTCCAACATGAAGTTCATCCAACCAACCCTCGCTTCCCTGTTTGGTGCGGCGATTGTGGTAGCCGCCGAGGATGTTCTTGTCAGTCGCCAGAATTTGCACAAGCGATTCATTGATAGTGAAGGAAACTATAATATTTGTAAGCCTGTTCGTGGAAGTCGAGGATATACCGTCTGACAGTCTTGGAAGCCTTTTACCATATAAATGATGTCCATGCTCACCTCGATGAATTCCGTTCCTCTGGACTTGACTGCCCAAACAAGACGGTGGGTTGTTTTGGTGGCTATGCCCGAGTCTCACAGGTCTTGAAAGACACTAGACCGGGCCATAGTGACAGCCTCTTCTTGAACGTCGGAGACGAATTCCAGGTTGATACCAACAATATCCCAAGTAAAAAATCACAGCTAAAACAAATTTTAGGGGACCCTCTTCTACAGCTACTACGGAGGGGAAAAGATAGCCGAGACCATCAACCAACTAGGCTTCGACGGCATGACTCTTGGAAACCACGAATTTGATGGAGGTCCGTCGTTTTTAACAAAGTCGCACAGCAAATTCAGTGTCTAACAGTATTCCATGTGTAGGCGACGACAAACTTGGTGAATTCCTTCAAAACCTCACTTTCCCAATTATCTCCGCCAACATAGTATCCGACCATCCAATTTTAAATTGCACCATCAAGCCCTTTCACATTTACGAAGAATACGGATTGGCGGTCATAGGGGTGACAACTGAATCTGTACCGTCAATATCCAATCCAGGAGAGGGAACGATATTTACAGATGTAGTGACCGCTGTACAAGATACCATAAACCTAATTAAGTCCACGACGAATATTACTAGAATCGCAGCTATCACTCATATTGGATATGAAGAAGATCAGAGGTTAGCCAGGTCTGTGAGCGGATTGCAATTGATTATGGGAGGCCATAGTCATACCCCTCTGGGTGATTTTGAAGGCGCTGAGGGGAAATATCCTACTATTGTGGAGAATCTGGATGGGGATGAGGTTTTCATTGTTACTGCGTGAGTTTACATTTCCTAATCCCACCCAGTCCAAGACTAACATGTTTCATAGATACCGTTCGTTTATCGCCTTGGGAAAATCACAATTACAAAATTGAGACTAATAAGATACACAGGATGGGGCGAATACCTAGGATACATTGATGTGACCTACTCACCCAGCGGCAAAATCCTTGCTTATAATGGTGCACCAATCCACCTCACTAACACCACAGCTCAAGATCCCGAGCTACAAGCTCAAATACTCGAGTGGAGAAAACCTTTTGAGGCATTTGCAGGCCAGGAAGTAGGCTCCTCAGACGTGGAGCTCGACCAAACGAGATGTGCACTACAAGAATGTAAGCTCCCATCATATTACTTCCACTCCAAGTCAAAGGTCTACACAAAGATATCAAATCGTGTCGTTTTCCTTGTTAACAACCACCAGGTCTCCTAGGAAACTTTATGACCGATGCCATGCTCGCCTACCGCCAAAACCAATCCACAGCCGTCTCATTCGCCCTCATCAACGCGGGTGGCATCCGCTCCACCATTGACGCTGGTCCCATCACTAGAGGAGAAATCCTCACAGCGTTCCCCTTTGGAAACGCCATTGTAGAGATCTCCATTTCCGGAGACGAATTATGGAATACGATGGAGGGGGCATTTAGCAAGGTCAACTTTTATAACGGGCGACCTGTTACTAGTGCCGTGCAAGTCAGTAAAGGGATCAAAATTTCCTGGACGAATAGCGGAAATGGGACGACGACTGGAAGGTTGGTGAGTGTTGAAATTGGGGGTGAGGCTTTGGATCGGGAGAGGATGTATGACGTTGTCACGTTAGACTTCCTGGCTGGTGGTAAGGGTCCCTTTCATATTTTGTGCTTGTAATTCGACTTGTACGGACTTGGAAGCAAGACTAATGGGAATGAATAGGTGGCGATAATATCTTTCAAATTAAAACCGATGTCGTGGTCCTCGATACTCAGGATGAAGTCCTAACGCGGTATGTGGCTAGCCAATCGCCTGTTAACATTGAGATTGAAGGTAGAATTGTAAACTTGGGTATTAATGGGACTGAATTCCCCACCAGGAGGAGCGAGGGGAAGGTTGGTAGGAGTCTGAGGGACAGGGTCAGGAGAGGAGGTCTCTACTAGCTTTAGCTATTAAATGTTAACATGAGTCATCGAGTCCAATTAGAAAAACCATGTCTTATACCGAAAATTCCCTGTGCTGGTCAAATTGCAGGTGTTCAAAGCGATGGAGTTAGAATAAGTAGATGGTTTACTGCCCAGTCATTTGGATTGAGCGACAGTACGCAAATACATAAAACGACATTTTCCAAATCGCCATGATGATAAACTTAATACAAGGGTAATTTGAGGTGGCTTCTTAAAATAGTAATGTAATATAAATTTCAACAGTCATTTTTGTCAGTACTGTTTTATCTCGCTAATAAGGTAAGCAGTTTCTCTGGAGGCACTTGGACGTAGAGTTTCGAGGGAACCGTAACAGCCGAGAAGAGACGATTATTACACGCGACCTTCCAGAAATCGAAACTAGGGCGAATCTGAGGCGAAATCTGCCGTTGTAACCGATCTATCCGTAACGTCGCAAGATTCAATGCTATTCAATCTTGAAAATTAACTGGAACCCACTAAGCTAACCCCCAAACGCTACTTCGAGGTATCACAAGCTAGCTCACTCAGAATACATTGGGGAGTCTCAGCCTTCTCGATGTTTGGCTGAACACTTTGCAAGGGCCTATTATATCCAGCATTATCTCGCTTTTCGAGATCTTGAAATCCATCAAGCTAGGATCCTGGATCTACTGATTTTGTAGTCGGTAAAGTGAAAAGATAGCTTATGAGTGCTCGAACATCATTCATCCTCGTATAGTCCCAAAACTAGATACGAATATAGTGATGGGGCATCGCCGGCCGGTAGCCGAGCCCTTTATTTTGCAATTTTCTCGATAACCTCGTGGGACTGTGCATTTGGACTCTCAGTAAAGCGAAGATGTTTAAAAAAAGGACTCAATTAGATGGTCGCCATTGTTTCATAAAATGTACTTTGTATAATTATACGCACTACCTACAGCATAAGCCCCCGCACCTCCTTGGCTACATAGAAATTCCAAAACACCTAATTTTCTCTTCACAGATAGCATTGGGGATTCACGGTGGAAGGATTGAAAGTTGCCATTAATTAGATACGACTTTGCTTGTTCTGTAATACAAACAAAGCAAAGTGCCCACCTTTCTTGTCGGATGTAGCCCAATCTCAACGTCGACCATTTAACAGATTCCAAAGATAGAGAGTCGTCAGATACAGTAGGAGAAAGTGCAAGGACTGTATTACAAATTCTACTCAAACCCCAGAATTTCACCCAAAATCCATCTCGGACGATCCGATGTATCCTCTCCATTCTGACCGCCCCAGTTAGCCGATCGCCATTGTTTCTGGGCGTGTCAACCTCCGTGTAAAACAAGCACCCGAGATCGAGGCTCGAATTACTTTTCGAACCAATCCTTCGTTCTCGTGTGCGGGCAGGAATTTGTGCTCACAATTGTGCATAGGGAAAGTCAGTAAGGATTCCCCGGTACACTTGTTACTCCGAAATTGAAGGTATATATGTCTTCGATGATTTGTTTCGCTTCCAGACATTTTTGCTTCGTCGTCAAGCTCAGTCAAGTACGCTGAGACCAAGAATTCCAGCAACCATCCGTATACCCAGCGGTTTCTCATCCGATACAGCTGGAATCGGTGAGACATACATGGACTTGAGTTTATTCGTGTTACCGAAAGAAAACACAAGATCCGCATCCGCATCCCTATTTGCAACACCATCAAGAGAGGCGCAATATCCCAGATTCTGATGATTGCATTGTTTGAGAACCAATCTATACCGCCATCTGATGTTTATAAGATTACTAGTTGACACCAACCAGCACATACCAGCGAAATGCAATTTTGATGTCCAACTTGCTTCCACTCATAATTGACGTGGTACCAAAGATTCATGGATCGAAAAAGTCGTGCTCGTGTAATGATCTACTGTACCTGTTGGCCCGTACAATGCCCCTTCCGGCGACACAGCAGACACATCTCCAGGTGTTCGATATCAACATACAAATGCATCTTTTCGTACCACGTATGAAATTCCACAGCCAGGATAATATGTCGAAGTATGATATTCTCCCCTCGTACCAATATACTCGGGTGTTCGAAAGATTACTTACTTGACGGCTTTTGTACTAATATAAGTCCACATTTTAAAACTCTCGCAGGCCCGACCCCACACCAAAAGGAAGCTCTATTGAGTCTCTAAAGAAAGGATTTGACCACCGAAACTCCGGATCGCCCGAAACACAACTGAATAGGAAAGAAAGACAGTGAGTATCAGAGCAAGTCCAAAAACTGAAAGATGGATCTTCTTACTGACAAAGGTCTAGACAAGACACGCGGTTTCAATCGCATGTATTCTGGTGAAGAAGAGCCCTTGCTTGGGCATAGGATTGATGAGGAATGCACCTCGGTTTCCAGGAGAAATGTATTCATTACACTGCCAGCTCTTTTCGTAGGTTAACTCAACAAGACAAGTTGTCAGTTTGTGACACTTTCTAATGAAATTCTTCCCACAACATAGCTAGCATTGTTCCTCGCAGCCATTGATGCGGTAAGATATTACTCGCTTGACCCATCAAAAGCTTTCACTAATGATGATTCAAGACAGTAGTAGCCCCAGCACTCCCTACCATCGCCGATTACTTTCAATCACAGGTAGCTTATATTTGGGTGGGTTCTGGATACCTTCTCACGCATGCAGCGTGTGGGCCTCTCTGGGGGAAGTTTAGTGATATCTGGGGTCGAAAAGTGGTTATATTGGTGGCTGTTTGTATATTCTTCGTTGGATCCTTGTTGTGTGGAACAGCAACTAATGTTGAGATGCTTATTGCTGGAAGAGTAACACAAGGGAGTGCGGCTGGAGGTTTAATAGTTCTGGTGAACATATGCATTAGCGACCTTTTCGATTTGAAGTAAGGTCAAACTCCTCCCACAATAAGCGACGTTGATACTGACATGAGTGGCGTAGAGAACGTGGGTTCTATCTTGCTCTAACTGGCATAGTGTGGGCATTAGCATCAGGCACAGGACCATTGATTGGGGGGGCAATTGCAGATAACTTGTCGTGGAGAGTAAGTAAAGAATTTTATCTAATCAAAATGAAGTTATTGCTGACATGGGATATGCCTAGTGGATTTGGTTCATCAATCTTCCATTGTGTGGCCTCACCTTCTTTGTGCTTCTTTTCTTCCTCGATGTCGATGATGTAGGAGTTCCCCTATTGGAAGGCTTGAAGGCGGTTGATTGGGTTGGAAGTATCACGATTCTCGCATCAACTGTCATGCTCCTCGCGAGTCTAGAGCTGGGCGGTGTGACGTTTCCACGGAGCTCGCCAGAGTTAATTGGTCTCATAGTCGGTGGATTAGTCCTTCTCGGGATGTTCTTTTTGAACGAGTCGAAGTTCGCGAAGCAGCCAGTGGTACCGATGAGCTTGTTCCAAAAAAAATCCACGGCAGCATTATTACTGGTGGTCCTGCTTCATGGATTGGTAAGTAATCAGCAGCCATGAGCCTTAACTCGTATCGCTTACGGATCGAAAAGACATATACGGCCTCCCAGTACTACCTTCCTCTTTATTTTCAAGCTGTCGGTGGGGCATCGGCGTTGGGATCTGGTCTGCTTGTGCTGCCTACCGCGCTCACTCAAACATTTACAGCAATATTCAGTGGTTTGCTCGTGAGGGTGATAGGTATACAGCCTTTTGACTGTGACTTGCCTTGACTTTTCTGACAAATGTACAGGTAGTTACATGGAATTTATTTGGTGTGGAATGGCCATCATGACAATTGGCTATGGCCTTTTTATCGACCTTTCTGAAGATTTCTCGATGCTCAAGATTGTGCCCTTTCAAATTATTGCTGGTGTGTATTAGGGTTTTCCTTTATTCATCCGTTCCCGCCATTTACTGGGGAAAGTTTACGGGGCATTCTTTCTATCTGCGCCTCCCGGGGGAGCAAATCCTTCGCTAATTGTCTGCAGGTATTGGGATCGGGATGGGATTACAAACGACACTAGTCGCACTTCAATCCAACATTGATCCGCGCAGAGATTCCATGGCTGCAACGACGGCGACTTTTAGTTTTGTACGAAACCTTGGCTGCTGCATATCGGTTGCCCTCGGAGGCATCATCTTTCAGAATGGCATGAAGAATCAAAAGGATGACCTTGTCATGGCTCTTGGGCCGGAACTTGCAAACAAGTTTTCGGCAGAGTGGGCAACACCTAACGCCATCTTGGTAGCGACACTACCGTGGGCTGAGAGGATGATTGTCAAGGCGGCGTATGTGGTAAGTTTGAAGGAAATGTGGGTATTTTATACTTGTTGTGCGGGTATCGCATTTATGGCAAGTCTGCTGGTAGGGAAGCCTCATATTACTCATGTAAGGAGGTGAGATGGCGATGGGTTCTCGGTTATTTAGGGGTCTGTGTTCAGTACTGCGGGGGTTTGCAGGTGAATGCAGAGACTACTAGGCATGATTGAGCAACTTTGTACAGAAATGCTGAGATAGTTTTGAGCTTCACGTAAACCCTCAGAGAAAGCAAATAGCTTCTTCCACCAAAGAATCATGGAATAGACACGTGATAGGTTAGACTCGGAGGCTCCCTAGTTCCAACAACCTAGCCCAACACCCAGTGAATACATCGGACAAAACAAAGGGCGGATCATCTTCTTGCTCAATACTGTACCTCAACTCTACTTTACCTTAGCCATATGTGAGATATGTATAACAATCAGAAAAGTACCTAGAAAACTTCCTCATATCATCAACACCAACCAAAACTCCAACTATTATTTGCTCATGGCAATTTTGAAAAGGTAAGATCCCCTCCAAACTCCCACCGATGCAAGATGATGGCCGAACCAAGTCAAATATGTGTGAGGACTTAGGATTAGGGCATCTGATTAATCGTTTCATAGTGCCAAGTTCTGAGTGCTCTTCTCGGGGTAGATAAAGTAGCTCTTCCAGGAAGCGCCGCTTACAATTCTTCTCTGTCGTCCTACTTTGACCTTCTATCGACGACTAGGCACCCTCTTTGCTTTGTCTCAGCACAGACAGTCGAGGATGTGTCATCAACAGTTGAGACATTGACTCCCTCCATTTCGAGAAACTCGACTGGCTTTGCAATCCAATTTGGGGGACATATGTGGTTTCCCGGTACGTCCAACATCAACGGCGGGGTCACGATTGACCTTCGAGGCCTCAACTCAATCACACTCAGCTCCAACCGATCTATTGTGTCTGTCGGTCCGGGTGCCACGTGGGACGCTGTATACGCTGAGCTCGATCCCTTGGAGCTCAGCGTTACTGGCGGACGCATTGCGGGTGTGGGCGTTGGCGGTTCGACCATTGGGGTGGTATCTCCTATCTTGGACCTGGTGCTGGCTGGACTTGTACACTACGACTTCTGCCTGTCATGTTGTCCTTGCCGATGGATCTATTGTGGAGGCCAATGCGACACAGAATTTTGATTTATTTCATGGCCTTTGTGGCGGCTCCAACGACTTCGACATCGTGACCTGGGTGAATTTCATCACGTTCTCGCAGGGAAAGGTACAGTATGGTCGGCTATCATGTACCATCCCACCACGACCATTGACGACCAAGTCAAGGTCTTTGCCAGGATTTCAGCCGCACAAAGATATGACACAAATGCCTCATTCGTTACTGAATTCGGATATTCGCATACTAGAGGCCTTAAGGTTATCGACAACGAGCTCATTTATTTGAAGCCCCCCATGCCAAGGAGGGGGAAGGTCCGCCATACTACAGAGATCTACTTTCTCTCCCATCCATTTTCAAGAAATCTTCCATTATCAACATGACGCAGCTTTCCGTGCAAGGTGGAATTTTCATCCCTCTTGAGGTCGCACAGTAGGCATTGCTCTTGGGTTTTCTGCATATATCTAAATATATATGTATATTCATCCCTAGACTCACTGAGGTATGTATATATATGTTCGCAACCACCACCTTCCTCCCAACGGAAGCCATGATCCGTGCTGCGTATGATTAGTGGGCTGCAAGCTTGCCAGCCGTACGTGATAGTGAGGGACTTAATTAGTCCTTGTTTTTAGAGCCGTTACCACCATCTCTTTACCAGCAGGATGCCGCAGGGAAACGCGATGGGCCTTGCTGATCGAAACGGTACCCTCATAATGTGCCTCCTTTCTCAAGCCTGGGCAAATTCATTCGATAATCAACGTGTGTATAATGCATCCAGATTCCAAAGCACTTATAGCCAGCGTCGAAAACGCTGCACGCACCCTTGATGCCTACGATCCTTACATATATTTCAAATACGCTGCGGATTAGCAGAAGCCGATCGAGAGTTATGGCATCGCCAGTGTGCAGAAGTTGCAGTAGTTGCGGTCTTAGGTTGACCCAAGGGGGGTTATTCACGAAGCTTGTTCCTGGTGGATTCAAGATCCCATATTGATTCCATAACATCACCTAGTTGCAGAAGAACCGCACATTTGATACAGTATTAGTTACTCATTTAAGTTTATTGTACGTATATACAATAAACATAAGCCAATCTACCATTGCAAAGACCAATAACATGCCATACATGCGTAACTAACTTGGTAATACATTGGTTTGCATAGTATGGTATAGGAGACTGAACCTGGACTTATGGTAATTTCTCCTGTGTGCAAATCAATCATAGTTGCGTAATGTAATAAAAAGGGATTTACTATAAAACAATTACTCCTTACTCTATATGTAGAATATAGAATTTTATTACTCGAAACATCTAGTATAAGTAGGTTAACTATATTAGTTTATCTAAGCTAATAAGAAGTAATCGGTAACAATTATTATAAGCCCTTAATATACTTGTTGTTGTTATACGACGCTTTTAGAATAATGTTATTCTAAGAGAGGTGTATGTAAAGTAACGACCTGTGCTATGGTAACCCTTAAACCGACCATTTGATTAATACCATGGGTAATTCGTTAATTAGACCACATAATGGAATTCTCCTACTAATTAATCGATTTTTAACTTCCGAAATATCCGTTTCTTTAATTAATATAAAGAGTCGATTTTTAATTAAAACATACTTCTCGCCTAGAAAGTAAATAAAGTAACCTATTAATTAAAGTAGAAAATAATAACTCCTTCTAAGTCCTTTATACCTAAATAAAAGGTAAAGCTACTCCTAAATACGATTATTTTACCTTTAGATTATATCCGGTACTAACTCTTATACTACTAGGTAGTAGCGTCTATATCAAATAATAGTAGACTAGATATATTAGGGTACTAATAAAGTAAGGAGGGCTAGAGTGTGACGGTTCTAACCGTCACCACCATTCGGATCACGTGGTCTCGCTTAGCGACCCACACCAAGTATTTAGATCGAAGCTCTCTCGAGCTCTCCTCTTCTCCTCAGCTTAGAATCTTTGTTTAATTGACAGTTCTACGATTCCACAACCTACACCATGGGCCTTGCGTACGTGTCGTCACATTATTCTAAGCTCTCTCACACTGCCTGGGAAGGCATACTGAATATCCCTTCCTCTCTATCCGTCGCGGTAGAAGGACCCCACGATCCTCAACTGCCTAGCCGCAGAGCTTTTCAAAAGGAGTTGAGAAGGCCTCGAAAGGCGACACCCTACGATCCTCAATCGAAGAGACTTGAGAAGATCCAGCGAGCAGAGTGCCCTGGATACGCCAATTCAGCAAACAGATCGACGTCGCAAGTACGACCTCACCTTTGCAACCAACCAACATATTCACCAATTGCCACGATGGCACCACCAACAACACGCTCTACAGGAGCACACCAAAAGAACCCCTCACGAGCAGGGCAAAGCTCTACCGACAATGCCGGCATCCAGAACGATGGAACCCAGCGGCAATCCTCCGATTACGACGATGCCGAGGAAATCAACGCATCTCAGCTTCAAGAGCAGATTCAAGACCTCGCCAAGAACCAATCGCAGACCGACAATATACTAGGTCGAATCCTAGATCGACTTACTGCTTTAGGCAGCGCCAGCGACAAACCATCGGCAGCCTCGTCATCTTCACCTTTACCTCAAGTCATCGCCCAATCCACCGAACGCAATACTCCTGATTCAGCGACACCAAGCTCGAGTACTAGCCACAAGTACTCAAAGAAACAGCCAGATCCCCAGCCTTTGTCCAACGGACAAGACCCCACCTTTCCTAGCTGGAAGATCCAGATCCAAGGCAAATTCCGAAGCAACGCAGACCACTTCCAAGACGAAGAAGACAAGATGCTTTACTTGTTCAATCGTACGACTGGCGACGCCCAGCGACACCTCCAGCCACGCTACGATGAAGACTCCCAGACACGTTTTGCCTCTGCCAGAGAGATGATCGAGTACCTGGCCTCTATCTACACGAACCCCAATCAAGCACGAGACGCTAGATACGAGTATAACCACCATTGTACTATGAAGACAACCCAGACGTTTGCCGAGTTCCAGACCCAGTTCCTACACCTGGCAGGAGAAGCGCAGATTTCTCAAGACAGCCTCCGCTTAGACTTGTACGACAGATTGACGACTCCGCTCCAAAGAGGAATAGCCCCAATGTTACGTACTCTGAACACATACCAAGAGCTGTCGGCAAGCTGCCTGTCTTTGGACACAGAGTTGAAGCGTATCACTGCAAGAGAGGAGCGTCAAAAGCGATATCGAGAGAAGTCCGCGGCTCGACCCCCTCGATCGTCAAGCTTAGTACCCAGTCATGCTTCAACGCCAAATCCAACTATTCCACGTTCTCAACTTCCTGCGTCCGACTTCCAACCGCGTACCACAATCCTCGCCCCTGAACGCCCTACGATCGAAAAGCCCCGAGCCAACGAAGCAAAGCGACCGGCGCCTGCAGATACTATCCCGACCTGCTACAATTGCTATAAGAAAGGACACTTTGCAGCCACCTGTACAGAGCCAAAGCGAGTAGACTTCAAGGAGATCGATGGAGGAGAACCAGCAGACAATGAACAATCGTACGATTCGTACGATTCGGGAAAAGAGGAACCCTAGGCCAAGACTCCTGCCTAGGGTATGCTCTCAGTCTGAAGAAGATTGATTTGAGTCGATTGATGGGTGGAAAGCAATTTACAGTTCCCTGTACACTAGGTAATAATGGAACCGGAATTGTAACCCACGCCTTAATTGACACTGGAGCGAACGGCTTTGCTTTTATCAATACTGCTTTTGCTACTGATATAGCTAAGTTTTTCAACCTTACACCTCAAGGACTGAAACGACCTATTGCAACCAAAGGATTTGATGGCAAGTCAAGCAAGTCTGTTACCCATATCCTTACTCTTCACCTCTCTATAGAT